TGTTATAAGTTAGAATTTCTTTATTAAGTTTAAAAATAAGTTAACAATAATAATTAAACGCTTATAGCAAGTTATATACCTTATCTTTATTAAGCTATTAGTATAGGATTTATTATTAGTAAAAGAAATCCTTAAAAGGTTTTATTACGCTACTAGCAGCTAAAGAAAATCTTTATTTTTAATGCTTAAGCTTTATTTGCTTAAAGTTTAAATACTTCTTATAAAAGTAGTTAGTAAACTACTCTTAAGATGCTTTTATATTAAAACTTATACTATTTAGCCTTATTTTATATACTCTTTATTTTATAGTAATTACGTTAAAAAGCTTTAATAGCGCTTATAAAATTTTATAGTAAATAAATACGTTTAGTTAGTTGTTATTTATAGCTTTTACGCCTTAAATTTAATCTTTAATCTTTACTACTATAGCTTTACTATTAAAGACTTAGACTATATAAGTTAGTGCACGTATATTATTCTTTTAAGGCGCTATCTTTGTTATAGCTAAGATAAGTAGTTTTATAAATCTTTTTATAATCGTTAGTAGCACTCTTATTAGTTCTTTAAGCTAGTTATTAAAGTAAGTTAATAAATTAATGCCTAAGTTTCTTTTAAAAGATACTTAGCAACTAAAGTTATGCTATATATATCTTATAAGAGAGCCTTATTAAGATTCATATTAAAGGCTATTATGCTTATTAATAAGCCTACTTTCTTATGCTTTACCTGACTAGCTACTATTAAAACTATAGTTATAGCGCTAGCTAATAATTTGCTAGTAAAGAGCCTTAGTATAAGGGTTATATACGTTACTCTCTTTTCTTTTACTATTATAATAAACTATAAAACTTAAAGAGTATAAAAAGATAAAGAATTATAATAAGTATTACTTAAGACATATAATTTATAGTAAAATAAAAGGCAAGATAAAAAGTATAAAAAGAGTAAAAGTAAGACTTTATCTTACTTCTTTTAAGTTTATTACTAGCAAGCGCTTATAAAATATATATATACTATAATAGCAGTCTAGCGTAGCAGAACGCTTAGGGCGCTTAGCAAAGCCCGCTAAGCGTTATTTTGCTTATTCGCCGCCGGTCGCCGAATCTAGCTTAGCGCTTTTAGCGAGGCTTAACAATACTTTTTCCTACTACTAGGCAAGACTTGCTGAACGCTTTACTTTGGCCTTGCTAAGCCTTGCGCGGCCTGCGTATACTTTATTTTGCGAGCTTGCTTAAATTATTACTAATTTATGCTAGCATTCTGCACTTTAGTTGATCCTTTTATATATATACTTATAAGATTATATATTAATAGCCTTAGTTAATAAGTTATAAGTATAAACCTGCTTGTTTGTAGCCTTACTAGCCTTATAGCGTTTAATAGCTATAAGTTAAGTACTTGTTTTATAGTTTTTATTTACTACTAACGTTTTATTAGTTAAAGTAGACGCTTTTGCTTATAAACCTCTTAAATGCTATGCTTAATAAGCTTATAGTATACATAGCTTTTATAATAATACTCTTACTAGATATTACTCAGCTACTTACTATAGTGCGCGCGTTAGTTTGTTTTTATGATTATAGCTTTTACTTATTCTAAGCTAATGCCGCGTTTATAGCGTATTCTTTAGCTTATAAAGTCTTTACTACCTAATAGTAAGGCGCTTACCTTAAGTAATGCTTATATAGCTAAAACGTAGTAGTATAGTTAGCTAGACTATTAAGCAGCGCTAGCAACTATAGTGCACTAGCTAGGGTTTGCTATACAGCCTCTCTTATATAATGCTAAACTAAGTGTTAAGCGTATAGCTGTACGTAGTAGCTTTGCGCTAATAACGCTAGCAGATATTTATGCTGCTAGTATATTAGTCTTTTTTAGTTAGCGCTATTATTTAAGTTAGTCTTGCTATCACTTTAAAAGTAGTAGTAACTTAAGTTTACGCTTATAATAACGTGCTTATATTTAAAAACATAAGTAGTAAAAGCTAGGCAACCTTTACTACTTACTAAGTAAGCGTTAAAGTTAGTTTTAGCTTTTACTAGTACTAGTAAAGAACGTTAAGATATAATATAGCCTAATATACTATCTTAAAACGTTTACGCTAAAAGCGCTAGTTAGTTACTAGTAAAAGACAATAGTATTAAAAGCTAATATTAACTTATACTAGTAGCTAGTAATAAATTTAGTAAATTATCTCTCTTTTAAATATAGCTATTACTTACTTAGTATACTAACGATTATATAAGTAATTAATAACCCTTTTCTTTATAGTAATAGTTAAGGGGGGGGCGATATTTCGTTACTCTTCAGTGTTTTCTTTACCTAGTTAACTAGACAACGGTGCAATAATATTATTGGCTGAAATTAAAATTATATTATGGGTCTTTGGCGGTGAAAGCAAGGACCCACCGTAGACCCATCCTATGTACCATATCTCTTATTAGTGGATTACGGTGCAAATAGCAACTCTCATTTAAAGATACAGCATCACGTGTCCACACCCCACCCAAGAAAAGCGCTTAGAACCCCGCTTGTCGCGAATGGAAAAGCAACATCTTAACCTCCCTGAGACCTTGACCTCGGCCTTCTTGAATCAACGTAAAGCAGACTCTGTTTTATGCCCATCTGACAGACTAGATACCATACTCTGAACAACCCAATACTTTGCATACGCTCTCACTTACAAGCAGTATATAGGTAGCGACTCCCCGACCCCCCTTTTTGCACAATATTGAAACTACCCTTTGCCCATCTCGACCTCCCCATCCATCTCGTGCTGATCTTGTCACAACCACCTTCCTCTATTGTACTTTTTGACCACATTTTTTCCTAGAGTTTCTCTGACGTACAACAGCGTGAAGCCGAATCTCACGTATTTCTTCGAGCTTCTTATCATACCTCGCATAGAGGCACTGCCCCGTTATACATCACAGCATATCTGAAAGCTTTCCAAAGTTATATTGAATGTCACACTGCAAAAGCTACGACTGGACGGAACAAAATTGAATATCGACTACAGTCTGACCTTTCCCCCTACCCAGCAGTCTTCTCCCCCATTGGCCTCCAGCTGCTCGTCTTTTGTACTCTGTACTAACTTATCATCTACTTCAACAGGCCCCCCCCGACGGCTTGGAGATTTAAACAGTGCACCATTGTTTGCTCTGTTTCAATAAATCCCTTTGTTCCACCTTTTCGATAGTCTGCTTCCGCCTTCCCACGTACAAGTTCTGGTTCTTTGTCAAAATTGTTGGCAACAATGCCGCCCTTGGGTAGTCCGCAGCGAGCGGTGATGCAGCAATTTATGCTAGCAACGGGAGCTACCGAGAAAACAGCTTTGAAGGTTAGTATCGAATTCCAAGAATGAACAATGCACGATACACAGATTGTTTGCTGTTGTACTAGCACGTCAATACAACGTCGATCAAGCATGGATTCAACGCGTCGCAAAACGGCAGTGGTGCAACCTAGCACCTGATATCCGAGACACGGGTCCGTACCGGTATCTATGGCCAATATTCTCTCTCCATTCATGGCGCACATGCTGGGGGTTGCGAATGGCAGGTTGCATATTGCTATTCGGCCCTATTTACAGACCGCTTCGAACTCTCTTTTTACCGCATTCTATTTGTCGTTCAAGCCGGAGTACAGAAAGCACAACGCCACAGCGCCAAATTAACCCACGGCAACATTGCTTGTTTGCGGACTATTCCCTGCGTGATTCTTCCAATTCGTCGGTGACCTATGAGGGTATTATTCGCTAACGGGCTTGTCGGTTGATTACAAACACAGGTTTTGAAGAGCACCAACTTTAGACTGGAGCTAGCTGCTGATTCGTAAGTATTGTGCTTCGTTTGGGTTCCCATTTGTTTATCCTCGTCCTTTATTCCTTTTCCCCTGTTCTTTTGCCACTCCAAAGCTCCGCCAGAAAATCCACCTAGCTGCCTTGTTTGCATCCTTCAAGCTATTGCAATTTCTCCTTGTTACGGGACCAACGCTTAGGGGGAGAATAATACTGATCGCCAACCACATCAACGGTTACTTTTGCAAAGTCGGACGTTTTTTCCAAGGATTACCAGACTATAAAGGAATCGCCACTCACTAGGATGAGACAACCCATTCCGCAGGAAGTTTGCTTGCAACTTTCTAAATCTACAAGTGATATGGATTTGATTTGGAAGCTTGGGTCTCTTTACAACGACATAAGGAAATTGCCAACTTGAGACAACTTTTCTCTACCAAAATATCGAACAAGAGGACCCCATCTCCAAAAATTTCATCAGTCTAGTGTCACGCCCAGCAATTGCGATTTGCACAAGGATACACTGGCAAAGTCTCTTTAGAAACCATGGTTTTCGACTTAAAGAAGATATTCCGCATCTCATTAGGCAAGGCTGGCCGGAGTTGGCATCAAACAGACACCAACTCGCCAAGTAAATACGATCTCTCAACTCCAAGTAGCCACGTCTCAGCTTTCGAACGGAATTCTTCCGCTTCTTTACCAGTTCGGAGTATCAAGCCTAAGGATTTGCGAGACTCTAGAGCAGAAGGGATTCACAGCTCAGCTTCCAGAACTCTCAGGCCGAAAGGGCCGAAAGTCTCTGGGGGGTATGCAACGTCGATGCCGAGTGTTATTCCCAGAAGAAAGGGAGGGGGGGGGGACACCTGGTCTTGGAACCATTTTTCCCCCATACCCATTCCCTTGCTACAGCATGTGCTGCACTGCCCCCGGCTTACTTCTCCTATAGCAGAACCCCCACCCCCAGATTGGCTACCCTGCAAGCTGTATCTTCGGATATGTTGAAGGCTAACAAACTCACAGATATTTCAATGGCATCTCTTCCTCGACAAGCAATGTAGAAGCAAAGCTGGAACAGTTGTTCGAAGATTTAAGGGGTAATTCCCCCTGTCCCCTTTATTGACTTTATGCTGTCGCTCACCGGGAAAAACAAATACTAGACCAAGCAGAAGACGGGAAGGATTCAATGGGTGTTGAATCTACAATGGCCTACCTGACCTCCCTGGGATTAAATCCAGAAAGTGGAGAGATTTTCGTTGCATTGGAGCTGGTGCAGGCACCCAATTTTGGCGAGATCACCCGTAAGGGTTTTGTTGATGGATGGAAAGACACTGGGTAGGTTGTGCACCTTAAGCTTGTGTTCCCAGAGCTAACAAGCACGTGTGCAGTGTAGGTCCATCAGCGGCAGAACATTCTAAATACATTTCTAAGCTGGTGCGCCAGTTCTCAAGCGACCCTTCCTACTTTAAACGAGTATACAGATACACATTTGTTGCCGGAAAGGAAGCCGACCAACGGTCAATGAGCCTTGAAAATGCTATAGAGTTCTGGCGCGTTTTGTTTGCACCACCAGGACGGCCGTGGCAATCATCGTCGCGCAATTGGCTGGATCTCTGGATTTCTTTTCTACAAGAGAAATGGACGCGCTCTGTTAACCGGGACATGTGGAACCAGACCCTCGAATTTGCCACGAAAAGCATGGAGGATGACACCCTGGGATTTTGGACCGCGGATGGTGCCTGGCCCAGCGTTATTGACGACTTTGTTGCTTGGTGCCGGACAAATGGAATTGGACTCAAGGATGCCATGCAAACGGACTCATAACCGCCACATTAGTCAGTCAGAGTACTAGTCGTTCTTATAAACGTGTCGTCGTAGAAGCGACAAGATACGTATTGAGCCACGTCTAGATTGCTATAAGTTTTTACTTTGGGCAATTATCGTGGAGCAGCATGAGCATTTGGGTGTGATGTGTTATACGAGATACACTTTTGCAGTGAGAGTTTTTGTGGCATCTGTAGCATCTAGAAGAAGCAGGAATACATAAAGCCAGAGCCAGATGCGGTAGCCTCTCCCATAGTACTCCACAGGTGTTTTCCCAGTCGGCACTGCCTAATATTAATTGGCCTTGAAGAGCTCTATTCCATTCCCTTCGAGTTCCCACTAGCCCAACATCACTGCACGAGAACATGCCATTCCAGAGTTCTCATACGTATTAACTCCGCTCAAATGCCTGTGACCACAGCACTTCACCGAACCTTGACGTGTTTTCAAGCTTGTTGTCGCCTAGACGCACACAGGTGGCCCTCACTACTCGAGGATCTAGTGCAAGAGTAGACCGAACCGATTGTTGTGTAATTGTGCTGCCATCGAATCGCATGACAAAATAATGGCCACGTGTGTAACGAGCCTGATGCTTAGAAATTGGTCGTGGAAGAGCAAATACGCCCCAGTTTGCGATAGAGCGCACGACACCGCCGCCACGAAGCACGAGCTGACCGGTGGTTAGAACAATTCTAGGAAGAAGTCTCCCGTTAGCATAATACTCCTCATGGCCTTTGTTTGACGATGCGATATGCCTCCTACTCCTTGATTTCGGGGAGGTTGCCCGGCCGCACCTGATCTCGTCGTCAGCTGGTAACAGAGAGAAAACATCCGAGCACATTTTTCACACAATGAAACTCACAATTCCTATTAACTCATACAACATGACGGAAACAAGTCGTCTGCCCTTCAAACTAAGCAGTCTGGTAGACGGGGCGGCTGTTCAGTGGTTTTGAATCCAGACGTAATTTTGATAGCCGTTCGGATGTTTTATTTTCCGGCCCCGAAACTCTACTCTGCATATTGGGAGTAAGTTTTGTTTGGTACGGAGTATAAGTGGACCACCCCCCTTCTGGGCCATCCCCCATTTGGGCCATTTGTTTTGGCTTTTCAACGCATTCTCACCTTAACACTTTAACAAATACCACGACGAATAACAACCAAAAACAAGTCCAAATAAGCCAGTTTTTCGCGTACGCTTTAGTCATGCCTGAATACACGGAAATGGACGTGAAAAATGCGCTAGAAAGCGTTGCTAGCGGCGTAACAATACGGAAAGCAGCAAAGGCTTACTGCGTCCCTTACTAGACCCTTTAGCGGCGCAAGGCTGGCTAGAAAACGCACTACAAAGCCGGTAAAGGGCAACAGGTGCTTTTACTACGGCTAGAGAGGTCCCTTGTTAACTAGGTTGTTGTTTAGGCGTAGCTAAGTGCCGCTCTTACGCACACCTAAATAATAGAAGTGGCCTAGCAGCTTTTAGCTGCTAAAGGACGGCGGCGTTGCCTTAGGAAGATATAGAAGGCTAGGTTTTAATAAGGCATTTAAAGATTAAGACCTTGCGCGGTACCTCTATTAAATACGCTTATGCTAACGGTGCGTTAAAGGATAATATACAACTTTTCTTTTCTTTCTTTTAAACGCTTATAGTTTAAGCTATACCTTTATAATTTTAATATAATATAGATAAGACTAGGCTTATAGAAAGACTAAAAGTAAATAGCTTAGTAGTAAGAAGGGCTAGGAAGAGCTTAAGGCTGTTAAATTATCTAGATTTTACGTCTAAGTAATAATATTTAAGTGTATTTTAGCAACTAGTATACTTCTCTCTTTTTATATAGTTTTTATAGGTAATTTAGTTCAGTAATAATACTTTTTAGCCTTACTTAAAAACAAATATAATACTTAGTAGTTTATTATAATGTTTTTTAAGTAAACTAATAATAAACTAGTAATAGATTAGTTAAAATAAATCTTTTTGCCATTTATAGCATTAAAGAATAAAGATTGGTAGTGTTTACTTATTTTAAATAACTATAAAAGCTATATTATAAATTAATTTATAGCTAACTATATAAAATAAAAGTCTAGCTTTTTATACTACCTTTTTACACCTTTTATATTACTTAGCTTTTTAATATATTATACTATTTACTATTAAAAGTACAGTATTATTATTATTTTATTTTAAATCTACTAAATCTTAATAATTTAAATATATATAGTAAGTAAACCCTTATTTTTTACTATATTATAGTATAAAAAAAGGCTTTTAGTAAAAAAAAGCGTATAAAAAGTAATAAAGTTATAGCTAGTCTTTTTTTATTTAAGTATTATTAAATTAATTTATTACCTAATAACTTACTTTTCTATCTATACTTTCTAAATTACTTTATATAAAATCTTTAAAGCGCGTACAGTTTAAAGATTACGTTTTTAGCACTCTACAATTAAGTAAAAAGGTATAGCGCAGTATTACTTCAATTAAAGAAAACACCAACTTAAAGAACTTAACGTAGCGCCTTCTAACAAAAGTAAAGAATGCTATTAACAAACAAAACCGTGCTATTACCTTTTAGAATAAGCGAATTAAGAAGCTAAAAGCGCTATTAGCATTATAAAAGGTTAGCAAAAGCAAAGAAAGGTAAACCTAGTACTTAATAAGCGTTTTATACGTATTCTCAACGTTATTAAGGAGCGCCAGCGCCTAGAAAGGACGCTACAACCAGAAAACACGGCTAGAGAGGTAGCCGCGGCGCCGCTGAACAGATTCATACATGTTTTTAACTATATAACTGGTGAGGAGGTATAGGAGGAGTAATCTAAATATGTGCAGAGCTTGTATTTTCGTGCAAAACAATGGCCCAAATGGGGGGGTGGCCCAGAAGGGGGGGTGGGTCCACTTAGTCAACTCAAACAATGGTACATTCAAACTTTCAGAGCCCCGTTTTAGTTAATAATTTACTCTGAGGCCTTTATTAAGTGATACATGGTACATTAGTGGATATTTTTTAGAAAGACAAGTCGTAGCGGCGAGTGGAGGCGTAGCGAGTAAACTTCGCTCCAGACGCAATCTCGTCAATCCGAATCACCTCCTGGCATGACTTCAGATTGCATGCGGCTCCATATGCCCTCGATTAAATCGCTGTTGGAGAATAATCAAAGTCAGCGTATATCTGAAAAAAAGAAAGCCACAAGCGAGAATCGGGGGTATACCCTTGTGTCCGGATCAGCTCGACCCCTTTCTTCCGCATAAATGCAAGAAAACGTCGTTTTGTCCGATCGCGCTTGAATTGCGCAAGTACTTTGTCACGCCACTCTATACTTTCCACCTGCCGAGTGTTGATAACAATTTTCTGGCTCTCGCGAGAGTAGGCAATGCTGGTAAGTTCACGGAGGCGCAGGTGGAAGTCAATAGGCTCCTTAAATATACCCCAGCTGGTAGAAGGTTCCATCTCCTTAAGTACCTGGTGTTCAAACATGGGCTCACAGTCGTGGCACTTGTCCACCCAATGCCAATACTGTGTTGTACTTGGGTTAGAAGTAAGGCGCATTGTTTTAACTTGGTGCACACGCCAGTCTTTCTTTACCACAGGGTCTCTTGTCAGTGAGTCAGTTGACGTGTACCCCGAACATTCAAGATCCTCCTCATGCGCCAGTGATCCAGTAGCATCAATAGTCGTATAGCCAGAGGTGGCTAAGGCAAGATCTTGCAAGCTTCCTGATGTCAGCCTTCCGTGAGTTTGTGGATACCGAAATTTACCCGACTGCTGGTCGGAAACTTCTAAAGATGACGACGATGAGATAGAGCGTCGCTGCTTCTGCTGAGCTTGACTGTGACGCCGCTGCCTCGCATGCTTTTTTGAGCTCCGGCTTAACTGGTCGCCTGATTCAACATGCGCACGCTTGGTAGGGGTCGATGCTACAGCCGGCACATCTTTACGTTTCCCCCCCGCCGACTTTCTGGTGGTTGAAGGACGGCCAATATTTCCAAACCCGTTTTTTGACCGAAGATCAGCCAACTTGGGATCGTGGTACATTTTCGCCACTATTCGGTCCAGCTTGAATTCCTTTGGCCGGGCGGTATACAATTCATGCAACCGCTGACGAAGCCACTGTAGTGGTGTCACGTCCATCTTGAATTTCGCCAATTCATCTAGTGTGGCAACCATACGAAATAGAGTATCGTAGTGAACGAGGGAAGGGGTCACCCACTGCTTTCCAATGATTTGGAAGGGGTGAAAATCACCCTTTTGAAGGAATTTCAGAGAACTTCTGCCACGATTCACTTGCCGGCCAGCCTGGAATACAGATGTGCGGTCTTTTTCTGTTTGTAGGTGCTCAGGCATATTTTTCAGAGCAGCAAGCTTTTCCACCCACTCGTCGAGTTTGCTGCGAATCGGCACTTCAACCCGCTTCCAGTCCGGCTCCCAATATGCATGCTCTGGCGTTATTTTGCGTATAGGAACGCCGCGCATGATTTCAGGCTCGAGAAATATCATACCGTCATCTTTCAGCACAAGACTGTCTTTCGTGATTTCTTTTAGCTCGAGGATCGCAGGAGTTAAATTTTCTTTTCCGGGAAATGTCGTCTGGGGGGGTGTGATAGATAACTTGTCATTGGCATGGGAGTGCTGAACGTGTTCTTCGCCATCAGTGTTGGCACTGGCATTAGTCTCTGCTGGTAACTTCTTGTCTCCCGAGTTTTTGGCCAAGTCAGGTGCCACATCGATTGATTGTTTGCTGTGCTGTTGGCCCGAGAACTGGTCGTCAATGACAGACTGCCTGGGCCGCTTTCCAGATCCTGAAGACTGGGCGGCTGCTCCATGACAGCCTTGCTTGTTCCACTCGCAGTTTCCGCACCGAGGAAAGTCGCTGCCACCCACGATAATGCAGAGAGAATATAGGCCCTGGCCTTTGGTACACGTATGGCACGCCCGTCCTTGTATCTCGCCAGTCGCCTGTATCATGAAACTCAACCATTTCGATTTTTTGGGCTCACTGCTTTCGTGTATATCGTCCAGGCTATCTTGTGTGAGCTTCCGGCCCATTCGGATCTCAACGCTTCGTCGAATCGGAAGCTCTCTAAGCTTTTGAACCCAATGGTTGCCCGCAATGAGACGCTTTAAAGTGCCGACAACGATGCCGTCTGGACCGACTACTTCAACTCCAGCAATTTTACTGGACAAGCTTTGAACTGACACGCGGTTCACAAAGTTCGCGTCTCTCAGGCCCCGTTTATTTGCATCGGCTTCTGAGGAGTCCTCTGGCGAAGATATCTTAAATTGCAGCTCTTCATCTCGAGTAGTTGTTGCTTCGGATAGGATACTGTCTTCCAAATCCGCATTTTTGTTTTTAGGAGCACGTTCGGAATGAACACCGTTGCTGTCTTGTTCTGCAGTGCCATGGTGTGGGTTTCCAGCTTTCTCGCAACTGGCAGCTCGAGCGTTGGCAATCCACGCTTTGACTCTCATGTCATCTGCTGTGCGCTTCTCTGCAACAGATTGTTTTCGCTTCTCAAACTGGTCGTCAAGCCAGTCCAAATCTGCATGTTTTTCGTCAACAAGCACACGGGCTTGCAGGAGTGCTTCAGTAAGGCGAGTATGCTGGGAAATAGCTTCGACGAGTTCTGCACGGAGAGCCGTAGCTTCCTCGCCGTATTCTCTGTGCATATCCTTATCTTCTTTGACTCGAGAAAGCGTGATCTGCTTCAGCCAATTGGTTTCAACCGCGTCCCAACTGAATAGTTCGTCAAGCTCCCAGCTGGACCGCAAACGACGATTTCTATCTGTCTCTTCATCATGCATCTTGACAGACGTTATTCATTTGAAGGCTGAGCATATAATGACGAACAAATTGGAATAAAAGAATGGTGTGGCTGGAAGATGCGATTAATCTTCTGTCATCAAGCGGAGTATGAAGTCCACATATGTCTCTTGCTTCGCATATATACAATCTGCGCACAATGCGAGATGCAAATACGCTCTCGCGAAAGAGGGAAGCGGATGAGTCTTGACCTGCTAGGCGACTTGTGGAGACAAAGGGTTACCCGTAGCGACCGAGGGTTTTGAGGACAGCGAGCAATGAGAAGACAGGGAGAATAGGAGCCAAGCCTCAAGTGCAGATGCGAGTTAACAGCAAGAGGTGTCGAATTATAATAGAGGCAAGTGCGCAGAAGAGGTGGCAAGGCTGTCTGGGCATATATTGTTGGTAATATGTAAGGTACGGGATTTTCAAAGATAAATATAATAATTACAGAGTACGGAGTACGGAGGTCCCTTCCAAAAGAAAGGGCTCACCACTTTTCCATAGTGGTAGCAATATACAGTGATTTTTATTATATATACGGAGAAAACCATTAGCGACAGCTCGCTAAAGCTTAGTAGACTAGCTCACTAATTTGTTCCGCTTATTAATATAGCTACAGGGCTCCCAGCACATAAGACTGCGCTAATAAATTGGTGGTAAATACAGTGTTAATAAATTAAACGTACTATACCCACCTACTTAATTTGCCAAAAGCGGTGAGCCCTTTCTTTTGGGAGGGACCTCCGTACGAGACAGATAAATGGATTTTGCGCGACTAGAAGGGATGAACGTCGTTACAATATAACCCACTAATATTGAAATGAATGTTATTGGGCAACTGTCATGTGACTGGCTCACTTTCGATAGCACGCAGCTCGTTCAAAAGGCTGTGCCCAAAGTTCAAGCTGATTTTATTTAATAAGAGAGTTGCTATTTGTACTCCGTACAGTAAATTCTTGTTATCTATACAGTAAACCCACTGATGACAGATAAAGTACATCGGGTAGGGCCCATTCCTTACCGCCAAAGGCCTACAATTAAATATAATAATTAACCAATAATATTACACGGTCGTTGCCTAGCCAACTTGCGAAAATAAAATGATAACTATAGCCCCCCCTCTTTTATTTCTATAAAATAAAAGGAAATTAGCAAATTATAGAATAGGGTGTTGCCTAGTTAACTACACATAAAAATATGATTTCTTTTCTTTACCCCCCCTTATTGCCGTTATTACTATTTAAACCTATAAACAAAAATGTAGCTAATTATAATACAAGCCCCTCTTTCTAATTTTAGCGCCTTTTTAAGGTTAAAACCTATACCTTCCTCCTTCTTACGCTATATTTGCCTCTTATACTGCCTTTTATACTATCTTTCATACTACCTTTTATACTATCTTTTCCGCTACCTTATACGCTACCTTTTATACTACCTTATTTGCTACTTATATTATAGATTCCTTTTTACGTATAATAGCCTTTGCTTTGTCTATTACTGCTAAGCTTAGTCCTTGTTTAAATGATAATAATTTATAGTAAAGAGACGTAAGAGCTAGTTATACGCTTTTATTTTAGCCTAAGGAGGATAGTTAAGCAAGTTGTTATTACGTGTTGGGTTAAAACAAAGGGAAAACGCTTACTTTATTTTAACTAAAAGGTCTTTAAAGGGATAGTTTGCCTTAATTATTTATAATAGGATTTAACTTTTAAATATAAAGAAGGCAGTTATTATTTGCCTACATTATAGGTAGTATAAGTAACTAAAGTAAACCATTATAATTAAGTATACTAGATTTATATTTAACTACTAGTAAGGATTAATATTAGCTATTAAAACTATAGTTTGTTTTATAAAAACATTTGGCATTATAAGAGTATAATATGTCTGATTATTATTATAAGTACTTATATATAGTTAAAGTAAAGGCAAGAAATCAGCCTTAGACTTTATAGTAATGAGGCTAAGAGTAAGTTAGTATTACTAAATAAGGTAGTTTATATAACTTATTAATACTTTGCAAAAGTGCTACTTAAGATATAAAACATTTATATAATTATGCTATATTTTCTTTTTTTGCTAAGTAACTATAATCTTAATTGTATACTTTTCTATAAGTATATACTTTTTATAAGTAAACGTTTTTACTATATTAAGCATAGTTAAAAGCTAAATTCTATATTATTATCTAGCCTTTTCAATATAGCTAATTAAACTAGTTATTAATATTTATTACATTATTATCTAATTTATATATAAATTTACAGTTAAGCTTAACTATATCAGCTAAACGTAAGCACTAACTAACTAGTTAAGCTCTTTAAAACTTTTTTTATTAATTAGTATAAAGAAACAAAGGTAGTATACACCTATTATTCTCTAACCTCGCTAAAAAGGATAAAAGAAATAACAAACAAGCTAGTTAGCCTACTTTATAGCATGGCCTTCACAACAACCCCTACTAAAGGACCGGCCGTTAGCTTCTAACGAGGGGGGTAGAACGCAGAATGCGACTCTACTACCCGCAACCTGCGGGCAGTGGAAAGGACGCAAAGGGCCTAATAAGTAAGTAAGGATGCAGCCGCCGCTATAAGGATAGCACGCAAAGACTAAGCATAGGCGCTCTAGGACATAAGCACGGCTTATTAGCAAGGTATAGTCTATGCCGCGTTAGAAGTCGAGACCTTAGCCTAGCGCCTTAAGCGGTAAGCAAGACTACGTAGCTATAGGCCTATAAAGGCTGCGCACCTCTCCTTGCTACGCAAAGTAGACAGGACGATAATAAGTTTCTATAATAAAAAGACGGAAGAACTATCGGCCTGCTTTTTCTTAACCTTATTAGCAAAACCTCTTAACCTAGACTAGTAGGCCGGGCCTAGAATCTTTATATCTTAAATAATTACTAAGGAAAAGATACCTAGAGCTATTAAAGGTACCTTCTTATATAAGGTAGTAAGTTTTAATAAAGTCTTTAACGCTCTTCTTTAAGCATACCTTTAATAGGTTACGCTATAGCTAGCCTAGATTACTATAGAGTTTATATAACTAAGCTATTAGCTTATAGCATTTAAAAAGACTTTAAAGATATAAATGTTTACTTTGTCTATAAAAATAAAGCTTATAGAAGATTTATAATAATGTAGCTAAATATAAAATAGAATAAGCGCTTAAGAAAAGAGTTTGATAAAAGACTACTATTAAAATAGTTATTTATATTCTTATATAAAAAAGAATAGTAAGACTTCAATATAAAGATTACTAAAACTAAAACTAAAGTCTTTAGAAAACAATGCTATATAAAGCGTACTTTATAATTATTAAAACTAATTATAACTAATACAATTATAAGGAATATAATAAGTAAAAGGTAAGATCTTAATATTATAAAAAGTATAATAGTTAGAATTATTACCTTTTTATACTTTATAAAAGGGTTTATACAACTATAATAGTACGTTTAAGATTTAAAAAGGGGTTTAATCAAGTAAGGCTATAATACTAATAAAGGCTAAGCATTAAAAATTATTATTTTATAATGTACCTTATAAGTTAAAATAAGACTAAAAACCTTTTAATTTTAAAAGAAACAAAGGCTTTAATACTAAAAGGTTTATAAAAGTAAAAGGCTAAAGAGTAATAATAATAAAATACTATAAAGAAGAATAATAAAAATATCATCTAAGCTTTTATTTAAATAATTCTAGTTAAACTAAAAAGAAAAATATATAAAAAGTTATAAACTTTTACTCTTTTTATTAAAAATATACCACTAGCACTAAGTTTTCTTTTTACTTATTCTTTTTTTATAAAAAATACTAAAAGTATATAAAAAATAAGTAAAAGTTTTATTAATTTTATAAATTATATAAAATATTAACTATACTTATATTTAACCTTTATACCTTCTTTCTTTATAACCTAAGTAATAGTAAAGCTTTTAATTTCTTACTACCTAGTATACTTTTAAGCTTGCTTTTTACTAGTAATAATATTACTAAATTTTTAAACTACTATAAGGTTTTTACTAGCTTTACTAAGCTTAGTAAAAGTAATAAGGCAAATAAACTCTTAATATATTATAATAGTAATAATGCTATTTATATAAATAGCTTAGTTACTTAATATAAGAGTTAGTGTGCAATATATAGTTATGAAAGCTTAAACGTATTTATACTTATAATATTAAGACTTTAACTTAACAAACTATAGTAGACTAGTAAGCAACGGCCTACTAGCTAATTTATACGTAACTAAAAGATATAGTATAGCGCAACCTTAGTAAAGTATAGCATAGTTAAGTAGCTATACTAGTCCTATGCAACATATTAAGATAGGTTGTTAAGTTTAACGCTTAGTAAGCAACAGGTTGCCGAACCGGTGCGTAAGGACGCGTATATAAAATACCCTTATACTATCCTCTTTTTTTTTAAGTAACGCCCTTATTAGCTTAAAGGTATATATATAGCAGCTACTTACTTATTAAAGCCCCTTTTTATATAAAGTTAAAAAAAAGAGTTAAGTGCTTTAGGTTATTAGTAGTTGCTAAGCAGTTAGTGACTACTTACTTATACGACTATACTTAGGTAATATAAAAGTGTATATATACTGCTTAGTCTATAGTAGTAGTAAAAGCTAGATTTTGCTTAATATAAGGGTTGTTTTATACGTTAAAGCTTTTTAAAAGGCGTGCAGCTTAAATCTTAGTTAGGAAACGCTTAGGTTGCTGCTAATGAGTGTTATAAGGAAGCTAGCCTTAAAGTATATAAAATTATAGTATACGTTAACTAAAAACGGCAGCGTAAGGCTTAAGACTTTTAACTACTAGTAAGGCAAGATAAAGGCATTAGCAGCTATTTATTACTTACTAATTATAAAACTATTGCTAACTGGATAGTAAAGGTAGTTTACTGCTAAGACATTTCTTTATTTAATTTTAAACATTTCTTACCTTACTATTAAAGTAAGGTTAAGTAGGTTTTTGAAACGTATTTAAATGTTT